CGGCTTCCTTTTAGGATTGTAGAGGATGCAGGGATACATTACTATATATTATATTAGTTAGCCAATGAGTCTTGCAACAAACTCCGGAAGTTCCGCAACATCTTTGTTGACGTAGCATCCACCTTTGCAATTTCAGCCAACCTTCCAGCTCGTTGTCTCGCTACTTGTTATGGATATTACACCGATTTCGCGAAAGCTCTTCGTGCCCTTAATTTTACGAGTACTGCTTGGAATGTTCCGCAAGTCATGCTACACCAAGGATTAGCCAGAAGATGGGCGAGGGCACGCTCTCTCAATTCACGGTGCAACGGCGCTTCACTCTGCTCAGCGTTGACTTTTTTATTTGAAAATAACCACACTCCAACCACCCTGTGACTGACAATCACGATGCTCTATCTGACGCTGTTGAAAAGGGATCTGGATAGAGTATCGATCATTTGCTAGAGCGATTCCGATGCGACAAGGAGACAGCACTGTGGCATCTCCAAAGACTTGTGAAGATCCGAAAATATAGAGTTTGGATCCCACATGCCTTGAGCCCGAATTCAGCTCCAAACACGATCTGACATCATCATGTTCAAGTCGACTTACTAGGATTCTTCGATTGACCATCCATCACATTTGCCGAAGATGAGGAGAGGGTACAGTGTGCTAACAAATAAACAAGCGGCGGTAGTCCAGCTCAAACGCTTCGGGAGTCTTACTGCTTAAGTTCAACCTCGTCCAAGTAGGGCCTTCTCGGATTTTTGGTGGAACACGAGAGGAGTTAGCTCTGGAAACCCCTACGTGTAGATGTCGCAGTCAACGCGAAAGTCAACCGTCCACAGCTCGAATGCAACGCTTTCAATACGAAAGAAAAACAAGGCAAAGTTTGCTTTTATGACACCGTTGAACCACCTCTTGCTAAGAAAATTCAGGAAAATTTCGGACTCTCGGACGGAGAGTTCTTCCGTATCCACCTTATAGCCCTGACCTCGTGCCAAATAATGCCCACTGCTCCCCTCTCCAAACCATCTCCTAGAGAAGAAATCTCATCCTAACCATGATGATGTCAAAATCGACATCTGATCTTTCTTCGATCAGAATTCAGTGGAGTTCTACAAGAGAGGCATCGAACAGCTTCTAGTGCGTTGGCAATAGGTTGTAGATATTGATGGCGTGTATTATGCTCAATGAATGGGACAAAAAGCAAGGTTTAACCAGTTTTTTACAAGTTTTATGGACCAACCTAGTAATACATTCTCTACTTTTCAGCTTGCTCTTTTCTTCTTCTTATTGTGGGGTACATTATTTGTGATGTGCTCATGGTTATTTCAACGTTGCTGAATGTGATGAACTGTGAAAATTCCGTGGCCGATGTTATTATTGACATTCTATACCAAGCTGTTTATATATACCTAACATGCATCGGTCAGTTGCAATTTGAAAAATGTCGGGAAACTTGAATAAATGAGGAAGCGCGGAACTTTTGTTCAAGCAATACGAAGTAATATACTGGGCTTCCCCTATTCAGTTAAGTCCACTAGTGTCGTCCTTACTTTCCATTTTTCCTCTCATACTAACATAGTAAGCGTTTACAATCGCACCGTTCAGAAGTGTTTTTCGGGCCAGGCTTGCTCAATAAAGGCAGATTTTGCGATGAAAATTTAGCTCATTGGAAATAAGGGTAGAGGTGGTCAGTGGAGCAGGGATGAAGAAGAAACCATTGAAACGGCCCGAAACCCGAGAAATGGGACCCCTTCCTTGCCCGTTGATTTGCGCATTGATGCGACTCTCATCGCTGTGCCCTCTTCAACGCTACGCTCTCTCTCTGCTATTTCCCACCCACGCAAGTCTATACGCGGCGAGTGATTAGATAGTCGGTGAACGTTCCGGACCAATTTCGTCAAAGAGCAGGCCATGCTTGATTGCCGGGGCATATCTTTCGATGCAAATTGCGTTTTAGTCCGCATCCTTAGGGGGTCCGCCTGTCTCCCCGCTAGGTAAGTTTCTCCTTCTTCAACCTTCGTTCTTACCGTGAAATCTTCCTCTAAGTAGCGGCAGGCTAGATTGCATACTGAACAGGTGGCTGTTACCTCCGGAATTCCATGATTCGTCCGAAATCCTATCAAGATCGTTAAGGCCCACTTGTGTGGACCAAAGCAAAATCCAAGATTGCGTTTCAAACTTGGGGTAGAGTCTTTGATGTTGTCTTGCTTTACTGTTTCTTCACCATCCCCGTACCTGTTCAATTCGATTCGATTTGATAAAATCGCTCAGTAAGAAAAGAGCGCAATGTTCCACTTTAGTGGGTTTGGCCTTACTATTGCATTTTCAGTGACCTTCTGTGTGCTGGAACGATTCTCTGCCACAGTGTTGTCAAAAACTTACGAATTTCGAAAGAACTGGATTGTGATCCTACTTGGTCAAGTGCTTTCGGTGTGTGTCTCGACCACTTGCCACTTTTGCTATACTTGATCTACGTTTCAACATTCTGTACTTTTCAGGGTTTGATCATCTGCGTTCATATTTACGTAAACCGTCTTGGTAAGTGTTTTCACGATAGAAACTGTTTTCATGAGAAATAAAAGCGGCTCTGCAAATCTTTTAGATGCAAATAGCACTCGCTGAATTACTTACCCTTTTTGAACTGGAATCTTAGTAATTCTATAGATGTGTCTTTGTTGTTCAGATGCACTGGTGTGCTAAAACTTAAGGACGGAAGTAACTTTCACATGATATCTCACTGCTAGTTAACCTAGGTGGACCAAATTTGGCACATATATAGAAGTAAATGTTGCAGTACAGTGCAGAGGGTTACTGAACAGAAAACGCAATGGGACGATTGAAAGAAGACACATTTCTTCAAAGACAGTGACTGTGGCGGTTGATGGGCGAAGCTGTCTCAACTTATGATAAGCCTTCAAAGATATAGGTGGCCTTGATGAGGTTTATGAACACCACAGACTGCAAAGCGTGCACCGCTCATATACTGGCTACAAGGTTGTTCAGGAGTTTTTGTAAGCGTTAAACTCCTCGAACACCGCCACTCAAAATTGCTGGACCGTTATTGGCGCATGGTGGTGCGCTACGATCGCTCTCGTGAATGAATGTCCACATGTGCTCCAAAGGATTTTGGTGGGGAAGCGGAGGGGCTCAAGCAATCGCCAAAGATCCTCACGTTTCGAGAGTTTCCCACTTTGGCTGCCTAGAGGCTCGCACATTGGCTTTCAACTAATGAAGTTGGGATCAAATGTGGTTCATTCCCAAAATGTCGACACCTAGCAGATGTTCCCGCCGATGCGCGGGTTCCAAAGGAAGATCAGATCTGAAGTTCGGAAGGGTTCGTTCTTGCCTCTTACAGAACTTAGCGATCACCTGCTATAGCGGTATGGTAATCCTCCACCTCCTCCTCCACGAGCAGCATTGGCTACGGTTCTATTGCTCTCTATGCGATCAAAATAATGCTGTTAGCAAAACTAAATTCTTTTGCTACACTCGTAACACCTCTTTCTTCTTCCACTTTGTCGCTGATCCTTCCTCGCGTAAAATCACCCTAGTGTTGTGACTTCTTGTTGTCAAGAACACCACAAAATTCCACAGCAGCTTCGTTTTGATCAGTTTCTCTTGTCTTGCTTCTCCGAACTCCGACCCCTTTTTCTGCGTGGCCATGCCTTTCGCTCAGAGAAGACCCCGCATGCATAATACTAGGTTGTCCCACCTCATGCCCCCACTGCACACCAACGTTTAGCATCCTCCTCACACGCAGTTTCATCTAATTCCTTCTAACTTGTAAATCACACCTATCAAATGACACTTTTTCCATCCTCGCTTTATCTTTCTGAACATTTACCTGGGACGGTAGCAAAGTACCCTTAACTCGCAATCAGAAGTAACGATCGGAGATTCTAAGCAAAGAATAAAGAATGGAGAGTGCGATCCAGCCCAGATCAAGCAAGAGCTTCCTACTTTAGATTTCAGACGACAAAATATCAGGAAACGAATAAATAAGAAAAAAAAGGTTGCAAAAGTACCTGAAGATTATGGATCGCAGCTGCATTCTTTGATTCCTAACAGGTTGAGCTGGTCAGAGAAGAAAAAAGAGCACGGGATTGAAGAGGCGCAGTCACCACGTCTGACACGTATGACCCTCCAGTGAAAAGTGCTTCGGAGTACTTTTTAGTGAAGGATCAACGTGGCCTCTGCGTCTCTTTAACCCCACAGTATTTTTTTTCTCTGATTAGTTAGGAATTAGGTTTACAAGTTAACTGTCTTAACTACTAAGTATATCCCAACACAATCTAGCATTATACGATGCTTATACGAACTAACTGTAGGTTAAACAAGACTTAATGTGTTGAGAAGCGCTCTGAACCAGTTATCTAAACTGACTTTGGTCTGAGCTAATCTCGACACGTTAAGTCTGAATTAATGAAGGTTTGCTACCGTCCCAGTGTTCATTCGCTAAATAGTGAAACACAAAGAATAACGTAATCTTATCAAACCCTTGAGTTATAATTTCTACGCTTGCTGACCTCCTTTCGTCATTGTGAGTAAAGGATTTTGAGATTTCCACTTAACAAGCAATTTAAAGAAATACTGGTTGCCATGCCGTTCCAGATAGCAGCGTCAGTCAAAAAACTCACGTTGCATCGCAGCGGTACTCTAAAACTTCGCGTGAGCGTCATCAGCACACTGCACATGCCCATCAATCAACACCACAGTGCCACCTCGATTACACACGCACATCAACGTCCAATTATGGGGACCCCTTCTACGACACCACATGCCTCTAGATCAAGTTGGTGGAATAAGAGCGGTCGGTAACAAAATGGGAAGGCGATGTGGATCGTGGCGCCTCCCATCCCATCGTCTACCTGCTGGGTTCCGTTTGAGCTTATCCGCAACAGGGTTTGCGAGGTTTGATGAAACGGCGAGTGCTGAAAGTGGAGGCTTTTGCATTTATAGATGAGAAAGTTATTTCAGATCGTTCAGACTGATCTTTTCCTTCTTTAGGCGGGATGGTCAGCGACATTGTTCAACTTGCTCTTTCCTGTGTAATTTTAACGGTTAGTGGTTACGCCTACGTTGGGTAGAAGGATCACAAGTCCTTTTTCAGAGTCTTTCCATCCTTCTCGTGGTTAACTGGCATCTGCGCATTGCAACTCGCGGACAGCGCCCACTCTCATTTCGCTATCAAATTTCTGAAAACATCAGAGTTTTAAGGTGTGTTGTTTCAAAAGCTTCTCCTAGCGTGCTTCGTTTCATTCAATACAATTTTAGATTACTCACACCAGTAGTCCTCTTGGATACAGGCGTCACCACGACTGACATGGTTGGCAATATGTTTTTTCAAGTCTCTCCTGAATTTGAGGCGGAGAAATATAAGTCTGATCACGGCTACCTACAAGCGTACATCGTGTTGCGCGTGGTAAGAGGCGCCGAGCAACTTCTCTTGATTCTCCTTAAATTTCTCTATTTTTAGGCTGCAATTGTTTTTGAATACTGTATCCCAGTTGTTATCGTGACAAGTAAGACATTACGGAAAGATATATACAGGGTTCTGTCAAAGGTAGTTGGCGCTTCGACAAGCGTGAAGAATGAGGTGACATATAGCGTTCGCTTCCTCTAATGTTTTCGTTCCTTCTCAGAATATCATCTGCAAATGTACTCATGTATTTGTAGTTACTGAAGGGTTCTGAATGGGATGGGTTAGCAGTAGAATGAAGTCTTGATGGAGGCCGTATACGCCGAGCTGACATGACTGAGAATCCCGCATAACCACCGCAAAGTTTTATTTTGCAGCGGCCCAGACAGTACCTTTCTCAGCAGAGCACTAGTGGAGATGAGTCGAATCCATCACGATAGCAACACGTTTCACCTTCGAAAGCTAACTCGTATTCAGAAGCTCACCATCTCAACCAAATCCCAAGCTTTGTAGTCAGGCGATAATGCTCTCGGTTTGTTGAAGTGGGTAGGTATCCAAATTTGGGAGCCACTTTACAATATGCAGACAAACATTGTCAAAGTCTCTTGAGACGTGTCCTGGAACAGCTTCCAAGGTTGGCGGGTTCAGATTACAAAGCCAACTTGCCAATCTGAGGGTAACGGGCAAGAGTGCGTTACTCCATTCATCGCATAGATCTGGCATTGCTCCATCAAGCTTTCGCCTCCGCCCTGAATTAGCAAGTGCGAGAAAATTAGTAAAGGAATACGGCCATCTTCTAAACGACCTCGAATTTCTCAAGCCCTAGCTTCAGTCATTCTGTGAGGATTCATCCAAACGTTTCCTAGCTAAAGTATGCATTTCATCTGGGCATGTACTGCTGATCGCTAGAAGAGATAGAACTTGAATAGGCAAAAGTGTAAAGATCAAAACTGGAATTATGAGACAACCCAATACGTGCCGGCGCTGGCCGAGGTAGACCGGATGCATCTGCTGTTACTAATTTGAGAGGAATCGGACTTTTGATATCATCACTTCTAGTTAACATTGCGCTGACACTAGTCAAGCTCATCCGACAGTAGTTATTGTTTCAGGTGGAGGACGCCTGGGTCGCACGAGAAGGTCCGCAGGCAGTTTATTTCAACTATCTTCGCGATCAATGGGCAAAATGAACAAGTGTCCGTTGAACTGCTCAATATAAATATTTTATGGGCCGCATCGAGAAATGCTGCTGGAAGTGCTGTTCTTGTAATGTGTCTTTCAGGCATGAAGCTACTTGAAGATTTTCTAGCATGTCGTCTTGTTTTCTCTTTATTTTTATGAATTCAGTAGTGTTCGTCCTCGCAATGGTCTCTCATGAAAATGTGAATGTCCAACCACACGGGGTGGCAAAGAAAACATTGTTGAAGAAATCCGAGGTGCCCCAAGAAGGACTAGAAGTACTGGGAATCCAGTAAAAAGCTTCAAGCTGTATTTGATCTGTGGTGCCTTAGTTAATTGAGAAGTACATTGATTATGGTATGTTTGTAGTGTTTTCCTGTCCCATATTGGTTTGCTTCAACATGTAAAGCTACTCGTGCAGAATGAAAACCCGCAACCCTCTGCAATTTTATAGAGTGCTGGATGCACTGACATGACGCTCTTTGTGTGCGATATTGAAAACTTATTTGATCCTGTGAAATTTTGAAGAATTTTTCACGAAACACAGCTTCATCAGAACACCTGTGATAAAGATAACCTGGTTTACCTGCAACATTCTCGCCTTGGTGAGACTGATAAGTTGAATCTGTGTCCTCTTGATTGAAGTAAGAAATGTTAGGATCAACAAATGTCCCAAAAGGTTTCACTTCCAATTTCTTAAATTCATTATTGTCTTCATCTCACGCATTTCGCTGTGGAGGAACATTAACTACCAAAGACGGTTAACATCGAAAACACATTTATTAATAATCTGCACTGCAGAAACACTTTACATCGCCCTCAGTTAGAAAAAGAATTGTCTCGTTAGCTTTGCGGAATGCAAAAGGGTAAAGGGTAGAGAGGAACATGTAGGTACATAGACTCTTCTTAACTTTCTTCATTCTGTCGTTCTCGTGTTGTAATTTCGCCCTTGAATCTCGGTTATGGGGCTCTTGTTCTACTATTTTGTTATTTTTTGCTATTCCTATTTTCGTGCGATAATTGGCGTTGTTTAGTTTTGCATGTTGTTACGTAGATCACAATATGTACGTTCTTCTTGTTCACATCAGAAATCATCCGCAATAAATATGATAACACATGTTAATGGTGACAAAAGTGATCAATCATTTGATTGATCCGACGTCATTTTATCTCACATGTACGGTTCTAGATGCTTTCGGGTTTGCACATTTATATGGCTTTTGAGAATTCGTAGTCATTTCGTCTATATTAACACCAGTTTAGCTCCACATGCTATCGCGCGCGTCACGCGGGTAGATTACAAGCCTACTGAACGAAATGCAGAATTACATGTTGAGACATCACGTGTGGTATGTGTTTGGGCAGCGTTTTTGGGAATCTTGCATGCGTTGGATCAAAGCTTTTGCGACGCACGCCGCATGCAAAAGCACAATTCATGGAGTTTTGAGTGTAAAGATACAGACTATCCAATATTGATACTTAGATGCGATGAAATGTTTTCAATAATGTTCGATCTGTCTAACTTATCGGAGTTACAGTAATGGAAGTTCGACCGAAATGACGTGTTAAGGCCATGAAAAGGCAAATTTTACTTACTTTCCCTTTAGTGGTTCCAAAATTAATTTGGACGTGGTTGTTTCAGTAAAACACATATCTTCCCATACGAATAGGTTTGTATTCGCTTCTATTATTCCTTTTTATCAACATGTTCACGTTAATGAACGAAGAATGAACTGAACAAACACATTCGTATGGTCTGGTACGGTAGTAAAGTGCCCTAGACTGGCAACCCATTGAGGAAGAACAAGCGGCGTGGAAACACGGACATGACCCTTCTCGAAACCACCAGCCTCGCACAGTGCCTGCAAAACTTGCGCCGCCGAACTGCCTGAACTTGAACCCTGGATGGTAAGGTTCATTGCCGGGTTTTTGCCACTGCACCAGGAATCACTCGATCACGCCACAGGAAGGAACGTGGAACGTTCCCATTGAGCCATTGGAAGTTTGCCATGATGGAAATGGTGAGCATCCACCACTTTGCCTGCAAAGCTTGCGTCGCACATGGGTTTGAACCTTTGGTGCACCGTCCCATGTGCAACATCGCTACCACTGCACTGGTTAGCCCTTTTTATCGACAGTGAAAGGGTTGTAGAGAAAAGGGAATAGCCTGCGAAGGTTGCAAACCTTTAGACATCTCGAAGAATTGATCCCGTGACTGATCCAACACCAACGTAGACCGCAGGCGCTACACCACTGACGAATCAATGCAAGGTGCCTCCCTTTCCCTTTCCAACACCGTGCTTTGACCCACGCACCTGGCAGTTTGAAGTTGGCCAACTCCAAAAAGTCCTCCGAAGGACTTTTTGCTGCGCGTAACGGGCGTCACCTGCGTCTCTCCAAACACATTGTATTTCGCCCCTCCGCGTCCCGTTTTCTGTCAGCGAGCCCTTCCTGCGCGTTTTACGGCTGCGCGTAACAAGGAACCACCCTGCCAGGGAGCTGCAGCTCACCTGGGAAGCTTTCTTCAGAGTTTCATAAATAGGTCTCCTAGGTGCCATAGAAGCGATTTCCACCATCATCGGAAAAACTTGCACCTCCACGTTACGTGCTCATTAAGCTGCCCGTTAACGTGCAAGTTTGGCTAGTTTACTACCGTCCCTGGAAAACTACCAAACTAAGAAAGATTTGAAAGATCTTTCTGTGAGCCATTTGGTTTTTGAGTATATTTATGTATGGTCTATAGAATGAGTACAAAGACCTTAGGAATAGGTCGTGCAAGCACAACAGAAAGGGATGACTTGGCAACGGCATCCGTAACTTACCCACTGAAAGGTTATATATTGGCGATAATTCGTTCGCATTCGGGTTTGTATATTTGTCAATTGTTGCTATACTGATGGAAAACAATTTCGAAAATAGCTTGAAAAACCTCCAAATACTTTTTCAACAACCTACTACATTTTACCTTATTGTAACTATTGAGATTTTATTTCACCGTGTATTTGACATTCTATGTGGAACTTGAGAAATGTTCTTTAGTCCATATTTCATTGTCTGCCTTCCGATATCACGAGGAAATCTGTAATTTTATCGCATTCATATACGGGTCTATAAACTTGATTGGATGGTCTGAGTGCCTATTAATTACATGCGTAGCGGGTGAGTGTAGGAGTGCTGCCGCTGTCCAATTACCTGGGAGTATGGCAATGCGTTCTTACTTCTTATTATATTTTGCCTCCGGCTTTCAGCTGTGAAGAGATTGAAGCAGGTGATCTTTCGGCTTTACTGATCTTGAGGAGTAATTACAAGCACGTTGGCTAAATCGGTTTTCTAGCGATCTGGCCACTACCTATTCGTCCTTGATCGATATCACGTCAGTACTGTAAGGCGCTTCAAAAAGTTCTGTCGTTTTTGACACTCCACTTTTGGATGCTCTATTTTCCTTTAACCCAGAAAAACTGCAATCGGTATGAATGCCGTTTTGAAGAGCTTTTCCTGCTCTTCTCATCCTCCCAGACAAGTCTGGTACCAATTAACCGACCCCGGAGGGATGGAAGGCTTGGTTGGCCCGGGCGACTCACGACCCAGGATTTGATCCCGGACCGCTCGCGTGGTGAAGCGCGCCACTTGTCACTACACCACTTCCGCCCAAATATTATCTCAAAATTTATCTCATAAATAAAACAAAACTTTATCTCATGCTTACCGTAGCTTTGTTTTAAATACTTCTCATAGCTTTTTCAAAGCTCTCTGAATGCGGTATACTCGATGAGCAAGTTGGCATGACTTTCTTTTTCTAGCTTTGAATAGACCTGAAAGTAGCGGGAACAGTTCAAAATATTAACGATGCACTTGGCCTAGATTCGCAATAAATGTGCTCATATGCAGTAGTTCGAAAAGTTATTGTAACGAAAGCGAGAGCCTTGGGTATGATAGTAGTAGGTATTAGTTAGACATCGGACGTTGCCACCCATTTCGCCAAAACGGTTTCTTGATGAGGGCGCTCTGCGGTAAACCATAGAGGAGGTTCTGCCCAACCTGGACGTATATGGTATTGTAGAGCCAAGCTATACGGAAGTAGCTGGAAAGTCCAAAAAATTTGGCCGCGACAAAATCACCAATCTGAAGGGTCGTCCATCAAATTGTAGCTTGTTTTATGTGATAATAGCGACTCGTTTTTCTACAGATTTGCAGCGTACAATAAAGAGCGGATTCTTCTACAGTCCACGAAGCTTTGCTGGATAGCTCGACGGATAAGAGCTCTACAAACTGTGCAAAACTTAAACTGTGCTGAAGGAGGGTTATGGCTTTCATAAGGTCGACGGCTGGCCTGGTTCTTCCGCATAACCAGGAACTGTTACAGTGGAAAAGCAGTCTTAACATTACGCCAAAATTCACCAAAAACCAAGACATGTGTCCAGCATTCCTCATTATAAAGGGGTGGACACATATCTGAAAGGTGTCCTGGACGTACATCGCACGCCAACCCTTCACAAGTTGTACCAGCTGAACTTCAGAGTGGTTCTGCGAACATCTTACTTAGTAGACCTTTGATCTATCTACTGTCAAACTTCTGACGATCTCGATAGCTTCCTTGAAGAGAAATACATCAAAACCCAACATGATGCTAAAACGACCTTCCCTCAGTTCATCGCCTCCAGAGGTCCAGCATTCCAAACAAGCGTACCCTGTTGAACGGTTTCTTATAGAGAAAGATTCGCGCATTCAAATGGTTTTTTAATCAGCTTGAAAGGTTTACTTTATGCCGAGATACATGCATTTAAAATTCGGGGTCGGAAAACGACAGAACTTTCTGAAACGCCTAATATTTTCAATAAAACATTGAGTTGCAATAAAATCTTAATTGTTGGTCAAATCATTTAAAATGATACATGAATACGTCTACATATGTACCTGCAAGATTGCCGAATTCAAATCTGCTCTCGTTATCTATAGAAGAATCTTATAAAGAAGGACCGAAGAGGAAAGCGTAGTGGTAGTGACCCCAGTT